CTGGTACGGAGGTCAGGCTGACAGGTCTGTATTTCCCAGGATCTTTCTTCCGGCCTTCCTTATAGATGGGCGTCACACTGACAAGCCTCCAGTCTTCTGGGACCTCCCCTGTTAACCAGGGCTGCTGACAAATGATGGAGAGTGACTTGGCAAGCTCCTCTGCCAGCTCTCTCAGTACATGAACTTTACATGAAACAGGACATGAACTTTAGAAAGTTCTAAAATAATTTCCTGGGTAGGCATTTTTTCATTTGCAGAGGCTTTGCAATGCCACTTCCCCACAGTGAGAGAGAACGGATGAGCTGAGCTGTCAGGTGAGGATTTTGCTAGTGATGTAGGACGAGACAGCAAATGCCTAGGCCTTTTGAGAGCTCCAAGGAGAATGCAGGGCATTATTATTCCTGCGGAAACACGATACACCTTAAATTGCTGTAGTAGTGTTTCATGGGTCCGTGTGGTACAATTGTGTAGGACAGCAGAGGGATGGCCTGGATAGCCTTGAAGATTCTTCCGATTCTCTGCTCCTTTTCCCTCTGCTCACATAGATAAAATACACAATTTTATGTATCATCTTACAGTCAACCTTACCTTGATATTGAAACAAAACGAAACACAGGGAAGCCTGTATCAAGTACTTAAAATGTCTCTGTAAAAGTAATCTGGCTTTCAGAAGTGCTGACCACCACATAGGTCCCAGGGAAGTATTTGCTTCCAGGAAACAGCTCCTCTGGATTAAAATTTAACCCCAAACTCTAGATTCCAGCTGCAGTATTTGTGGGCCTACAGCACTGAAGAAAATGTTGTAAACCAGTGGTATGAATCAGATGGCTTTTGTTTTCTTACAAAGTTGAAACTCTCACTGGATTTACTGAGAAGCTTACAAAGTTGCACATGCTGCATGTAAGTAGAAGCTGGTTTATAGTACAGAGTTTAACTGTGCACTGTTCTGTAACTTAGTACAGCCATGAAACAAAGCCAGGCCAAACTATACTTTCTTCTAGAGCTTTCAGGGCTGACTATGGAGCTCTGATATTGTGCTTGCAAGAATAAATACTGAATATGAAACAGGCAGACAGCTTCTGACTGAAATCCAGGGTCTGACTTTATATTAGGTACCAAGAACACTTGCGTTTTGGTCCCGTGAACACCATTATTCTTTTCTGAAACAGAACTGCCTGAAGTATTTCTGCCTGAGCAGAGAGTAGGACCACTCAGTAAATCAGAAAGAAACCAGAATTAGATTGCTGCGCCTACAGTGTTTTCACTTTATACAGTTACATCACACCTCATCATTGCTCTGTGCAGCCAAAATGCATTGCAAATTAGAAGACCAAGACTGAGTAAAGCTCATCTTCTGCCCTTATATGTTGACTGGACTGTTGGTTTGGGGGGACTGATAAATGATTCAAACTACATGGAGTTGCAATCAGCAGTGTCATAGGAGCACATATATGCCTGCTAAGTATGTATCTCTCGCATGCTAACTGGCTTTAAGTAGCGTACCAGTCATTCTGCTCCTTAGCAAAGTCATCTAGTCAAAAAGGGATGGGAAGAGGCAGAGAATTTTAACTACAAATTTTTAGAGGGTCCCTAAACAATGTCTAAGTTGCTCACTGGTGGCAGCTAAGCTTTCTGGAGAAAAGTTCTTCCATTTCCTGCACTATATATAACACAGGCTCCAGTTTTGCTGAAAAGGTCTGTTTTGATGGCTCTCTCTCCTTTTTTAATGGAGAAGAAGCAACAGCTGCATGTAAATAACCAAAGCTATTTGGATAAAGTTAAGCCAGCCAGCTTAACATAAGCCAGCCTTCCCTCCTCTCCCCCACAAATCCCAATTTTTTGTTTTAGAATAAAACTAGTTTTTTCTCATGTCTTTCAGTATACCACAAGGAATAGTATGCTGGTGGTAAAATACTAGGGAACTAAGCAGAAAGTGTTCTTCCTGTGTTGCTCTAATTGAAATCAGATTCAAACTTGGAATTCCCTGCTGCCCATGGCAGCCATGATAGCTGTGTGCTTCCCTGATACATTGCACAGCCACTGCAGTGGCGCTCCTTGGGCAACTGCAAACGTACCAGTTGAAGCCCACCACTTCAGCTCAGGAGAGGTCCCTGCAGATCTCCCAATGCCCACTGTATATCTGGGAGGATCCTTCACTTATTGAGGCTGAACAAGACATGGTGCTGTTCTGAATGTAGAACTTGGCAAAGGTAACTTGTCTTCCAGGTGGAATAGTAAGTAGGAGCCTTGTGATAAATGAATAAATTCTGTGTAAACTGGCCTATTGCTGACTGGGCTCCATTGAGCTGTTGGTGTATCCATAGTTACACTTCAAATTGCCTCATGAACATCCCACACAACAGGATTTCTGTTTGTAGCTGAGGTCAACTAGATGACCTTGCACTAGGGTAAAGATGTGCAAATGGAAAATAAAATTACCTGCAATGCAAGAATTCTCAAAAACTGTTCTTGCTTAGCAGATAGCTTCATATAGCTGCCTCCTCTGTCCCTGAGGCTTCATAAGCACCCCATTATAGTGCAAGGCAAACAGGTATGCTGATGGCTCAAGTAAGCATGCTGCGCTTTGGAGTGCGGTTTTCACATGTCATTAAGTATATCCATGACCATCAGTGTGGTCCACCAACAGTGCCCCGAAGTGTTCCTGTCCATACAGCATTTATGGAGAGGGTTCAGGTTTTCTGCCCCGTCACAAGGCAGAGAAACCTTCAGGTCTGCAGCAGCTGCTGGGGTTTCTGTCCCACAGAAGAAAGATGTTTGGATCCAAGCTTAGGAATGTAGTGTGCTGTTGACAGATGGCAGACCATATGTACACATATGTATCTAGGGTTGCTTTTTGTATGGAATAAATCCAGGGTAGGTAGGAATCTGGTCTGTGCTGAGTAACGAGGATTTATTTCTTGGGAAAAAACAAAGGGCAAAACAAACAAAAAAGGCATTAAATTACCTCTTGCTTTCTCCCCTCTTCTTTCCCTTCCAGATCAATAATGAGATAAAGAAGCAGGATGAGAAGCTAGTGAGACCTGTAGCTGAGCAGATGATTGAGTTCAGCATTTTGATTACTGGTGAAAAGTACAGTGAGGAGCTGAGTGATCCAACTGCTGTGAAGCATCAACTGCTCTCTGAACAATTCATTTCTCAGGTAATTGCTTTCCCCGACTTCCTTTTTCTTTTTGCTGGCCCTGCAAATCGATAGTAGCACATAGCACCTGTGTTAGGACTGCCTGTTTCTCATGGGCTCTGCAGAACCAGCTCAGGGGTTTTGTTGCCTGAGGCAGGGCTGGAAAATACTCACTCACTATGAGAATGCTCTGTTTTGTTGACATGCTGCCCTTTGTGAAGTAGTGGAGTGCCATGCATTGTGTGTAGCATACCAGTTGCCAAAGACCAATTCTCTAGGTTCCTTCCTGTGTTTCTCATGAAATAGTCTGCTATCAATTTTGCAGACAAAAGAGGTAGAAGTGTCCTTTTGGGAGGATCAGAAAATTATGCTGAACCCCTGAATGGGGACATACTCTAAACAGGACCTTTCTGAGGGACTACTCTCTCTTTTCATATTTCATTAATTTACTTGTTAGCAAAAGAAACTAAGCCAGAAGTTATTAATAAATAAAAAACATTTCCACTCATTTTAGTCCTTTTAAAGACCTATTTTTGCCAGGGCTAACTTTGGCCTTACCATCCTTTCAGAATTTTTCAGTACCTTTCCCTGTCAGTGTTACTGCTTTTAAACTCATACAGAAGAGACAAGATTCTTGTTTGCCTGTTGATGCAACTTCATTAGTTCTTAAAGTTTTAGGACTTTAAAACCTTAAAGATACATTTAACAGCTCTCTAGTGACCAGTCTGCCTGGAGTTTATTCCAGTGCTTTCTAATCTCGTTGTCCAGTTTGAATTCTTCCATAATGTAGTTGGTTTGAAACGGGGGTGAAAAAGGTAACTTGAAGGTCTTGGCAAACCAGCCTGCCTGCACTCTCAAATGGCAGGACACGAATTGAGTGCAGTTCAGAGCTATCAGCCTGTGCTGAGGCAGTACTGGAAGGCAGCTTGAGGAATTCAAGGACCGCACAGCATTAACATGGAGTGCAAGCAAAAGGCATACAAGTCCGTCAGCATCTATGGGCATCTGTGTGGTCATGCTGTGGGTCTCCTACAGAAGCTGAGCACTGAAAAGGGATATAGGATATCTCAAAAATTACATAGTGTCCAGATTTTGGACTGTAGAAGAAATTCCGGCATCAGTCTAGAGAATCTGTCTATACAGAGGTATAGAAGTCAAAAGGTATATAGGTAGAGAAGTCAAAAGAAGTTGCAAATAACAGAACTCGTTCATTATTTCTACTCAGGAGCAACATTTCTTTGAATGAATCATTGTGCACTGCAGTGAGATGCTCTCTGAAATCTAGGCTGCCAAGACAACTCTTGCTCCTCATGTATGCCCAGAAGTGCACGTTAGCACATGTTAAAACCCTCCAGCCTCAGAAGAGTCCTTAAACACATGCTGAGATCCCAGTGGAGTCAGTGGGAATGAACAATGGTTTAGTCTGTTAGGCACCAACTTCAAATTAAAAATACATATGTGCATATACATATGTGTATATGTATATATTTATATATGCATGATTTATTAAGACTTGTCTTCAGGTTAATGTAATTTTAATGAAAAGGTAATGTTTTAATTTGTATGCTACAAAGTTACTGGCCTGCCAATATACAAATGCGTATTTAAAATACAATTGTACTGCTGTCTCCTAACTTTCCTCTCCCTATTGTTTCCAATATTTTTTTTTAATTTTGTTTATAACTATGGTAATTTTATTACCATCATTTTCTTGGGGCAGGGAGTTTGTCTTGTCTTTCTCTTGGGAGAGGAATCTAGAGTGCCATACAGCAGCACATCGTGCGGATTATCTTTTCTCTAGCTTTGCTTCCTTCTTAGTCGCATTTAGTTGGGGTTCTCTGTTGAATCCCTTTTACTGGGGCCAACCCTGTGCCAGATCCTGGGCCAGATGGGAAAGAGATGTACTCTTCACTGTCGCCAAAAAGCATCACCACAACTGTCACAAGTTGCTAGCGTAGGCTAGACATCTTAATTTTCCTAGTTGTGTGGCCAAGTAGCAATGCCATAGTGTGTGTGTGGAAGAAATGTCAGATGGGACAGAGTCCACCTGGCACATGGATGTTCCACTCCTTTGATCCCTTGCCTGGTTTTCTCTGTGCTTGGATAAAGAGACTCTTGAAAAAAAAGGAAGTCGGCAGCACTTCGATTGTTTAAGTCTCACCAGAGACAGTTTAAAAATAGGGAGATTGGGCAGGGGAAGAGGAATTTGAGGAGTAAAAAGTAATCCTCAACTGGCAAGAATCTACTGGGAGGAAAAAAACCAACCCCAAACCAGCATGAACTTGCAATATTCAATTTCTTGTTTTTGACTCATGTAATACAGTTGACTATTGAATTAGGCCTGGATGTTCTGCCATTTTGCTGCCTCCAGTCGTCTTTTTCGAGTAGCGCTGCCAATCACTCCCGAGCCCTTTGTATGTTTAGTGCAGTAGAGATGAGCCACGTTTTGTACTATGCAATGCATTAGCACCTCTTAGGAACAGGCACCTCTTAAAGTCCAATGGCGGCTGCTGCTCCTCATGTTAAGTTGTTAAGGTCCAAAGCATTTTCTTGAATTCTTTTTAATCCAAAGAGGTTTGGGAAGTAATGGAAACCTTTTGGGCAGAGAAGGGTTCGTGCTGCATAAATAAGAGAAAGAATGTAGTCTGCTATGGGCAGTACAGATCTCTGCAGAGTCTGTTTGTATTTCCACCCCTTTGAACATTTCTGTACAGTTCTTGGAGAACACTGTATGAGAAAAAGAAAAGCTTTCTTTTTCAACAGCAAAAAGAAAAGCTCATGCTTTTTCTTTTCCTTTTCTAATAATGAAACAATGTCACCAAAACTCCTCTTCTATAAAGAGAGAGAACATTCAACCATTTTTCTGCTATTGAATGGCTCAGATACATTTTTAGAAAATGTTGAAAAAACTTCCTAATTTTTTGCTAAATGAGCAGAGTGGAGGAAATCTGTGTTAATTTTTTGGTTTTCCCCTCAAAATAGATCAAAAGTGTATTTGAAGGACTACCTGGATACAAAAGCATCCATATCCTGGATTACAGGTAAAAAGATACCGATGCATACGTGGTGATTGAAACTGATCATGTATGATGGTGCGATATGCTAGCACCACTCTTGGAACAATGTCGGGTATGTGCATGGGAGTTCCTAAGATCTAGTAAGCAAAGGACAGTGCTTTCATATTTGGAACCTCTATATACAGAGATTGAAATAGAAATACAGAACCGTATGTAAATGTAATCATCTCTGTTTAGCTCCTGGCATCTACCAGAGACTCTCACATGATATGCTTGCCTTAATTTTAAGACAAGGCATTCTTATTCAAGATTCTGTCCTAAAATTAAAAGAGGTCTTTTCTAATTTAAAATTAGTATCTGATACTTCTTCAGTACTGTTGACATGTCCTAGTGTTAAACAAGAAAGAACACAGAAGCCTTTTTGGAAAAATGTGGTGTATTTAAATTTTTTTCAACTTCTTAATGTTAGTTTGGTATGACTATAAAGATTGGTGTTTGAACTATGTAAAGGTCTTTCTCCCTTTGATCAAAGCAAAGGTGGGTGAACAGTTTGAAAAATTACATGCAATTTTTTAACTCTCTATTCTTAGAAATACTTTTTTAAAAGACTAGTTTCCTCCAATAATTTTCTGCTTCGGAGTGATGTTTTAAGTTAATTTGGGGAAAAAGGGGATCCCGTGTATTATGCATCAGACATCCAATGTCTGAGTATTGGGGTACATGGATCACAAATTATGATTTTTCTTGAATGGACTGGATATAACTTTCAGAATCTAGTGAGGCTGTTCATGAGTTAATCTGAATTGTGTTTTGTCTGAGACTTTGTAAGCTGTGTTTCTTAGAATATTGGCTGGAATATTCTAGCTAGAATACATGCAGGTAGCAAAGCAGCTATAGTGAGAAAGGTTTTATGGTTGGAACCCTAGACTGCATTCAGTTTCCAGCCTGGGAGGTAGCAAAACTTTCCATCTCGGTATTTGCAGTCTAATATATTTGCAAGCTCTTGGTTCATTTGAGAAGACAAAGAAAAGGTTGATATTTCTGGCAGAATGCCAGAGCTCTGTGCTCTGCTGTGCATGACAAAAAAAGTGTTTGTAAACTAAATGTCTAGGTAGAATTAGTGACCCTTGATTCTCTTGGTACTGTCGGCAATTTAACTGCATTATTTGCAGTTAGTTGAGATGGCTCTCCTCTCTCCTCTGCTGATTCCTTGTGATCAATAGGAAATATCTCTGCTCATTTTAAAGCAGAACAGTTTGTTATATAGCAGCGTAACTGTGCAACTTATAACACTTCTGCTGTATGCTTTTTCAAATTTGTGTGCCCTGTAGGATACCAAAGCAAATTTGTTAAAGATAGAAGACTTAAAGGAAATTATAGCGTTGATTTAACAGGTTTTGCTGTTGTGTTTTGTTCTGTTTCTACATTCAGGTCTCCTGAGGAGGACAGGTAAAGACAACTTTTTCCTATACATTGTCATAATACAGATGGAAAAATGTGCTTAGCTGGAGGACACTGTTTTTGGCATTTGTAGTTTTGGCTCCAGAGCAGGATAGTTATCTAGCATAAATATTATGTGAGGGGGTTCTACCAGAAACTGCAAATTGCTGCTCTGTTTTGATTACAATAAAACTAATATGCTTATTTAAGTCCTAATCATAAAAAACTACTTGGAGAAAATATTCCTAAACACAAGTCAGCTACTGGGCTAACTTGTGTATAGGAGTCTCTCCTGTGAAGAAAACAAAATTGCTTAACGACTCAAGCTCTTTATACTTTGCAGCAAAGTCTTGGATAGATACGGGATTATTATTATCATAGAAATTAAAATAGGTAAGAAAACCATGGTTTTCCAGCAAAGGTAGTTGGCTTAGCTACTTCAGGGCCAGAAGTGCTGCACACCTTAGCAGTAGTTTTACAAACGTTCCTTAGCAGAAGATGGCATCAGTCTGGACTTGTTTTTTGTTAGACATATACAGGTTAAGCATCCAAAATTTTCCTCCTTCAGTATTCTTTTAAGAATTTCACAAGACAGAAAATGAACTGCAGCCTTTAACTCACTCAATGTATTATTTTCTTTTGTGTATTTCTCAGCAAAGGTGTAACTAGTTTCCACAGTTTTACAGAGAGTGAGCATTGTAATTTTAGAAGAAAGGTTAGAAAACAGAAATCTCTTCACAAACAATAGTGACTTAAAGCCATGCTCTACCACTCTGCACCTCTGCAGGCTAAGATGTGTGCACCTATTCACAAAGGTTATGTTCCAAGTACCAGACGTTTTAGCCCTTTCCAGACAGATGATGGTGTTCTAGTTACTAGTTGGGAATTATTAACTGCAACTGACAGCACAGTTGTATTAAATCTAAATGTTACTTTTGAGGAGCATACTGTATTCCATCTTTGCTGTGCCTTTTCACTACTGCTGTCCTTTTTTATTTCCTCTGCTGGCAGTCAGTGTCCATGGTGAGCCTTGTGGTGGGCTCATTTCAATGACAGAGCCAGCAGCAAAACTCCAGCAGGCTCCTGGTTTTAGTCCATATGTTTGCTGATTCTGCCTCTGTTCTATCTGGTGCTGGGACTTTAGAGTCTTCTCTGAACTGAGCCATTGCTTTAGCAATCCAGTCCAGCTCTGTGGAATGAGGCAAACTTTTCTTTGGAGCACATTCTTCTAACACTTCATAGATTACTTCATTTTCTTGCTGTGCCCTGTGTACAGCCAAAATATTTTATGTTTTCCAAAGCTCCCCTGTGCTTATGCCCACTGTATGGTAAATCTGATTGCTACCTATGCTGTCATGTGGGAAAGGATGTCCAGACGTCTTCAAGAAAAGAAAATTAAGAAAGTGGAGGAGAGTTAATATGAAGAAAGCTAGGCTGTACACAGATACAAATAATTTTAAAAGAATAAATGATCAAATAAGTCTAGAAAAATGTTCCCAATAACAAGCTATATTAAATAGCATTTTATTGCTACTAAGGACATTATTTCAAGCAGATTGACACTGCACAGTGACAGTGATCAGGGCTCCCTCTTGCTACTGTATATTGCTACTATATACAGCCAGTTTTTCCAGGCTGTTTTCATACCTCAGAGTCATTCCCATCATTGGCGTGATCTTAAAAATCATCACTTGCATCACTGCGTGCTGGCAGAAAGCCAACGTTTTGGTTTGCTTGTGGTCTATCTACCATTCACTAGCAGAAACACAGGGCTGGGACCAGATCAGATGTCAGGTTCTGGTAGCCTTTTCCTTGAGAACTTTACAGCAGTGGAAAGCACAGGGAGGCAGACACAAGTGTGAAAAGAATTAAATTGTTTTTTATCTAGAATCCTTTAAAGTAATATATTTTTATATTTAAAAAGGTTCTTAGGGGAAAAAAAGTCATCATGTTTGCTATGCATTGGAAAACCTTGCATCTCTCATCTGTGTTCTCTTTCTCTTCAAACAACTGAAGTGGGGTGGAAGTTCACTATGCTGTTACGTTTGATGGAAAAGCTATCAGCAATGCCACATGGGACATGATTAACCTTCATTCCAATAAGGTGGAGGACAACTCCTTTATGGGCATAGAGGATAATCCAACAGTTGTGTACACCATCAGTGATTTCCGAGATTATATTGCTGAAATCCTCCAGAAAAATGCCTTGCTTGAAAACACTTCCTTGTCTTTAGACCCTAACTCTCTTCAACTTACTAATGGTGGGTATTAATTATGACGCGTTGGTGGGCCACACATCTGAAATTTTATAAAATAAGTGTCCAAGATGAGTGAACTATTCAGCTGTCATCTGAATAATTAAAAAGAAACAACAAAAAACAACTGTGGTGTAGCTTGTTTTGCTCTGATCTTAACCAGGTCAAGTCATTAGCAGTAGTATCGCAGTCTCAATCCGTTAGATTGCCCTCTTTTTTCTTTGACACCAAGGTTTGTGATATGCAATTTCAGTAATACTTCAACAATTAACAGGACTAGAAGGGGAAATGTGGTTCACATGATGCGTGTTGCACCAAGGTGACCTTCAGCTTAGTAGCTCTGTGTTGGCCTTGAGCAGCACAAAGGAAATACCTGCTAGAGGTGGTGGAGGAGTGCTGTCCACCGCTCTGTTCTCATCCTTCCTCTGTACTTCCTCTACGTGATCTGGGGGCATTTCCAGAAACAAAATCTCTCTGGCAAACTTTTTGAAAAGTTTTTACTCACAAATTTGAGGTGAGGGAGGGTTTTTCAGTCAGTCTTCCAAAACAACCTCCTCACACTGCTACTGCAGCCTTTATATCCCAAGTATTTATATTTTCACAGTGAAAGAAATACTACACACTATACCAGAAGACCACTCCTGGATTACTGAGCATCCAGTTGTGCTGGAGCGCCCGGAGTTTGATGTGAGTATGGTTCTGAGCAGTGGCCTTTAGACACATTTGAACAACTTAACTCAGCAAGGCAGAATTACAGCCAACACCCAGAGCTTCTCTATCCTGTTGTTTATGCAGAATAAGTCGTAACGAAAGCACACCATATACTGGAGTAAAACGTCTGGTGAAATCTCCCATCTGATAATTTTATATGTTTCGCAACAGTTTCCTGTGATCATCTTCTATTATGAAGCAGTACTGTGCTGTACAACCATGTCTTGCTTCTAGGGCTTCCTTTGTCTGATTTTTCATCATGTTTAGACTGTAAACTGCTTGCAAGACATGATTCTTCTCACAATACTACCCTTCTTTGGAAAGCAAGATATAGATGTAAGCAGTAAAGCTGGCTGCTAGAAGAGATAAAAGGGTAGGTTTCATATGCTCCTGTTTTTATTGTATTGCTTTCACTGAAGGTTCTCAATTCAGTTTTAAAATTATGTCCATCCCCTTAGTGCCAGCAAAGGAAACACAGAACAATCATATGCAGTGGTTCTTTTTTTTCTTCCTGAAATTGCAATTATCTCCTCTGCTTACCTCTGGAACAACCTAGGACATAGACTGAAGTTCCCATTGAACAGGAGACTTAGTATCTCTGACCATGTCTGTACAATGCAGTGGGGCTTTAAGCAGAGATACCAAGTTAGGTGCCAGCGACACCAAGATGCAGTTAATTATTAGTTCTGCAGACAACTATAATTTCTGAATGGTGGAGCATTGTCTGGGCTTAAGGATTTATCTAGTAGGTTTCTGCTAGATACTTCCAATTACTATCTAGCAGAAACCAGATACTTCCAAGAAGTGGAAGTATCTAGTTTCCAGAAGAACAACTTCTTCTGGAAGTTCTTCCAAGAAGAACTATGCTCAGTTCATGCCACAAAATCCAGATCCACCTATGCTTGATGGTAGGTTTTCACTAAGTTCATCATGAGAGAATGTTGTGAACACAGACACATTTAATTTCAGGCCAACTTCTAAAATCTTTATGGAAGCAAGATTTGCAGTGATTTCACAGAATCCAAATATTCTTATTATAATGGTCACAGGTATAATCTCCTTAATTTCCTGCTAGTTTTCCCTGAGTTTGAAAAACTAATAATTGATGCCTAAAATGCAAATTAATACAGATTTGCCATAAATGGCTTAAACATGGTGTGAAAAAACATGAATTTAAGTTAACTTTCAGAAAAGGACTTTCTCTTTACTAGAGCTATCTAACTAGATGATAATGTTACAGATGGTTATTTTAGTAAGACAAATAATTCTGTCATCTTTACATTCTCTCTGTGGATACTCTGACACCTATGCAGGCAAGAAGATTTTAGAGTAGAGGTAGCTTTGCAATAGTAAAGTTTAAACCGGTTTTAGGGAATAGTATGTACAAGAAAAATTTCTGGAGTTACTTTTTTCTACTCATGGACTATGAATAATAATGTCATCTATGTCTTCATTCAGTCAAAACCTCTGATTTTACAAAAGACATTAAGTATATATATATAAAAAAATCTGTGTACAATCTGCAGTACACAGATAACTTGGGAAGTAACTTCAGATAAATTTAAGAAAATCATAAATGTGCTTAAACAGTAAACAAGGCTGAAATGACTAGTCAATTACTTCCACAGATGTCAAACCTTTATGGTTGAAGTAAATACTGTCAAGCAGAGCTGTTACCTACGAAAGAGTTTTGCTATTATTTTTCTTAGATGATTTGAGAATAAGTTGGATTTGTATTATCATACAAACTCATGACATAATGTGGGACTATCATGATTTCACCATCTAATTGCTAGCAGATGGTACCAACTAATGATTAATTCTTTTCTTTGAGTTTCATAGCGCTCTTAAAAAGTGAAGATAAAAACAAGCCTAGTTTTTGAAATGTGTATTTTCCTGTTATTTCTCTGGAGTTGTAACAGGTAGAATGCTCTGGCTTCCTGAATACAATGCCTTTCTGGCAGCAGAAAATGGAAAATCAGGGAGGGCATTCTGTGTTTGCAGTCATCTGTCATATTTGTAAGCCTTTCAAAAGACATTAGCAAAAACCAGAACTTGCCAATATGATATTAGACTTGTTAATATAATATATTGCACTGTAACAAGAATCTTTGAATAATGTTGGTTGTCATAGGAACATATATCCACATTCAAATAAATGATGAAGTGCAATCCCTGGCAACTAAGTGCTCACATAAAAAAAATGTATTGAGGAGCTATTTCTGGTAGTCCTTATTCATTCTTTATGGAATTTATATGTGTAATTTGTTTCTAATCTTGCACAGTAACTTTTTTACAGCTTTATTTATAGAGGTCATTTTTGCCAAAAAAGATAATTGCTGGAGCACATGTCTGTGTGGTATACATACTTTTCAACTGATTGTTACCATATAAATTATGGTATAATATATAAATTAAAAATTGTGAGGAGACTGTGGTGGCATAACAACTGGCTATAAAAACGTGATCAATACAGGTAGACAAATAATTAAATAAAAATACCTTAACCGCCTTGTTTCCAAAGCGTTCAAATGTAATTTGAATGAAGTTGAAAATTTAATTCACCCACATTTCAACCAGGAGTAAAATTTCAAATTGAAAAGTATTTGTATTCTTCCTGTTATTCATGCTGGTCAAGTAAAAGAAAGAGATTAGACAGGAACAGTGAGCTACAGAAATGATTAAATCAGTAGTTTGTTTTAAACTGTAATATGTATTACAGAAACCACTTAACTTTACTAGTCACCATCACCAATTGGTTAGTTCTTAGTAAATTGCTGCTTCTTGAAATTATTTGGCAGTTTTTCACACCCCAAGGGTTTTTTTGGTCTGTATCGGACTGTTGCACAGCACTGATAAGTGGGCAGGTATCCACACATAGCACTAATTCCTGAGTTTTAGGCAGTCGACTTGCTTTTGTAGCCTTGACCAAATAACTAAATCTCTTCATTGATCCCCCCCCCCCCCCAAAAAAAATTACCTGATGAGACGCCATGGTAGTAGATTAGTATTCAAAGATGAAATGTGCTAAGTATTCTAACTGTAAGCCAAATAATGATGGGGGCATGGAGTAGTAAGTAAATGGTGTGAAAATTGGAGATTTAAAAACAAATTATTTTTTCATTAGCAAATTCATTGTGAATACTTTTTGTTTTTCATCATTACTGCTGATAGTTTTTTGGGGTTTTTTTGTGTGGGTTTTTTTTTTGTGTCTGCACAGGCATCTCAGCTTTGAGACTAAAGTTATTCCAGGTTCTAAATGGTCTTTTTTACATTATGGTCTTTGTTTCCCTCCTGGGTTCTCATACCCACATCTAAAAGATAGCAATAAATGACCACAGGGCATGCATACATTCAAGTTCCGTTTCTAAACTGGTTTATGTATCATAGTAACTATAATATAATTACTGTATTGATGATGTAGCTGATGAATGTATTGATTATGTAGCTGTTAAGAGCTTTTCATGCTTTAGGTGTGCGCATGTTTATCTTTGATTTAATTAGAAACTGACAGATCCATTTTGTCAGTAAAGAAAAGGAAAGGAGATGGGATGGGTATAAATGGGAAATCTCCTAGGGCCATAACCGAAGCTGCACTCCTAACAACCTGAATGGCTTCTTTCCCTTTTTAGTGGACATGACCGGACATGAAGTGTATGTCACAAGGATGTGCATTTTACATGTACATTGCACATGATCAGCAAAGGGTCTATATTTGCTGGTCCTCCCAGTTTGGCCTCTCCTGCTGCTGTGCGTTACTTTCTCACAGAGGCGGATTTTGTACCAGATTTTGCTGTTGGCTGCTGCTAACACCCTTTATGTGTTCAGCCCAATGGCCAATGCCTCCCCTGTAATAGTGGAAATATTAATAGTGGGTTTATGTTCCAGGACAGCACCTTTTTAGCTGAACGGCCTTCAGCTGATGAATCAACTGTCAGCAATACGTTGCCCTTCGATTTCACCAAACCAGATTCCATGTCAGATAGTGAACGGTCCAACGATAATGAAATCCGGCCAAGACCAGAAAATCTGGACTCTGAGGCCAGTCTGGCACCTGAAGCTCCACTCTCCTCAGAGGCTGACGTCACTTCTTTGCCTGATGGGCTGAATATAGAGGATGGCAACCAAACTCCTGATTTGGTGACTGCACCAGTGTTAGGGCGTGATTCTGTGGACTCTCTGGAATGGCTTTCAGCCCCCAGTTCTTTAGATGGTAAGTTAATGCCACTGACTGAAGCTTAGGTTTGGATGCCAGTGCTTCCTGATACTCACCAAAGGTATAGTTCACCAAAATGACTTTTCAGAATGGTCTAAAAAATTGGCTATCTTTCTCTGATAGTTCTGACCTTTCCTGTGTGCATGTATCCAAGAACAATATGCTAAGGTAAAATGTTTGTTAGAGCTAATAATGTCTGTTGATCCCTTCAGGAAATGTTATGCACATGATACTTGCTTAATTGCACAGAAGTATTTTTGTATAGGGCATGTTCAGGTGATGCCGTGCAGAGAGAACTGATCTCTGAAGTAGACTGACTAGCCTAAAGACGTGCCACACAGTTACTGCTTTATTGCTTACTCTGCAGTCTTGACTTGGCCCAGAGAATACCTGAATGAAGAGTGGCAGAGGTCAGCAGGGATGACTTTGTCATCCAAAGGCCATGGGAAGCATGCTGAATAGAGATCTACAGACAATAAAATGAATGTAATTTGTCACTTTTTATCATAAACAACAACTAATTGGAAACTTATTTTTATTTTTAGCATTTGAAGACACTGGACTATCTGAAGACCTTCTTTTGCCTTCAAATCCTCCTCACTTTGTGCCTGAAGAACCTCCATCTCCAGATGATTATGCAGTTCCTCTGCTTTCTGCACCAACAGTGGCCTCTTCATCAGTCATAGACACTGATATTGAAGAAACAGTATCTACTGCAAAGGAAGAAGTAACTTGGGGTAGTCTTGCAGGCAGTAGCAATGCAGACTCTGTGTTGCATGAGTCTGTGGAAGAAATTCCTTTTCCCTTAGAAGTACGCCCTATGGAAGATGAAACTGATATATATCTTGGAGATAGAATTATATATGATGATGGGTCTGGTTCAGCTTTTGATGGTTCGGGAAAAGAAATGGAATCAAGTATTTGGCCTTGGGAAGAAGCAACACTGGAACCAGTTTTCTACCCTGGTCCTGATAGCTGGCTTGAAGATGACAATCAGTCTTTGTTAATCAGAACAGAGGATATTCCTGAAGGCGTGATCTTAGACTATATTCTTAACTCTAAGAATAAATTAGATGGTGATCGTTCCAAAGATGAGAGTGAAGGTATGGCCAGTAGAAAAGATGATTTCCTCCATGAGTCTGAAGTATTTGTCTATCCAGACACTACAACTCCGCAGGTACCTCTGTTACAGACAGAAGAGCCATCATCTCTGGAACCATCTACACAGAGAGAACCATCGGGCATGTATGATTCTTCTTTTGTTAAACCATCCTTGGTTTCAGAGCCATCGGTGGATCATTCCTTTGTAGACATGCCAGCTGGAGAGGCCCCTGTCTCACCACACAATACAAGTCTGTCTGTGGAAGATAGTCTTCTTCCATCTACAGGGACCTTCAGTATGGAGCAACCTGAAGAGTCCAGTGTAGGTCAGAACATGATTTCTGAAGAAGTTGAAAACCAAAAAGAAGACAGGACAATGGTAGAAGAACTATTCACAGTGGGGCAATCAGATGTAACTGAAGCTGCTACAATAGGCCACTTGGACACAAGCTCTTCAGAAACTGTTCTGACTGCAGATCCTTCCACTGTAAACACTGATGTTTCCACAGAAGAGCAGCAAACCCTGGATTCATCATTGGCAAGCCAAGACACTACTGGATCAGCAGTGAAGAAACCAGCTGATGTTTGGTCTACTGAGAGAACACTAGAAACTGCCACTCAAGTTTCAGCTGCAGCTCCATCTGTAATAGATGAGACCACTGTTTTAGAGGGCTTTGCTGTGCAGGGTGGTACAGACCATGACACATATGTTTCCATGAGCTTCAGCACTGTTATGAACTCTTATGTAACAGTGAGTGTAACAACAAGCACTGCTGAGCTTCCATCCCATCTCCCTCCGGTGGGATCCATGGCATCATCACCTGTGGCTACCTCAACAAAGCGGGGAGATGAAACGACAAGAGTCATGGATGATGTTTCAGTGGACCTGCATCGTGTGAGCACTGTCCACTTTTCTCCTGAGCTGACTGAGGAGGGAAGGAGCATGACTGAAAGTCACGTGGAGCTAACAACTCATGTCCAGTCCACAGAAATGGCCAGCGTGGCTTGGGCCACACATGAAAATCGCACTAGTACTCCTGTCCCGTCACGAGCTCTAGTCGTGTTTTTCAGTCTTCGGGTTACCAACATGATGTTTTCAGAGGACCTGTTTAACAAAAACTCCCCTGAATACAAAGCGTTGGAGCAGCGATTCTTGGAACTAGTAAGAATCACTTCTATGCTAAATGTCCATTACTCGGTAGACAAAAATTGTCGGTAGATAAGAGTTTGTTGGCTCTCTTTTGCAGAGAACAACTGAAGACTGGTGTTTACAGATATTATTGGTATTATTTCCCTCAGTGGGAAAATTCTGTCTGGAAATGGGTGGGGTGCGTTGTTTGTCTTTTATTCAGCCAGCAGTCTTTCTAAAGTGTGACTTTTTAGTGCTATGGGCCAGATGCTCTGCTGATGTCAATAAATGTAGTGGTGTAGCTGAAGTCACTATGATGCTCCCCTTTACTTGCTTCCAGAGTGCCCTGTATTTAGTCTATAGGGAGAGAGAAGTAAATAAACTGGGGCTGTGGGGAGGTAACTTTTCTGCAACACTTTCAGCCCATCCTAAGTAAGAGGTAGTTCAGGGAACTAAACTGGTCTTAAACTGACTCATGGCTAGCAAAGCCTCACAGGAGTTATACAGTACCTGTCTAAATTTTAACCAGGAAATTCCCCTTTACGGGCTGAAATGAACATTTTGTTGCGGGAGATGAAGGGAGCAAAGGAGAGAGAGGGAAAGGGGACATGCTCGAAGGAAGTACCCTGTGAAACGATGACTATGCCTGGTGCTTTGATCAAGGGAAAGTCCCAAGAACTGTATTTCTGAATTGTAGATTTTTGGAAACCGTGTGCAGATTGGTATATGCTTAAAAACTGTCTGAAGTACTTGGGCTCCTGGCAGGCTGCCAGCACAGGCCTCAACTGGGTAAAGTTTTAATGCCCTTGCTGTGGGATTTGCCTAAAATAATTGAGACTCCCACTGTTTGATGCACTAATAGTGCAACTGGCTTGAGTAGAGATGCAAAGATTCAGCTTTTCTGTCATGTCGCCTGTGTTGCAGCTGGTGCCCTACCTTCAGTCAAACCTGACGGGCTTCCAGAATCTGGAAATCCTGAACTTCAGAAATGGCAGCATCGTGGTGAACAGTCGAATGAAATTTGCCAAACCTGTGCCTCGGAACGTCACCAATGCTGTGTACATGATCCTGGAAGACTTCTGCAACACCGCGTATCACACCATGAACCTGGCCATTGATAAATACTCCCTGGATGTGGAATCAGGTAAGGATGGCCAGGAAATGAAGTTTGGAGCAAGGGATTTAGAGCAACATCTGCTTTAAGAACTTAGTAAGGATCCCAGCAGCTCAGAGACTGCCCACTGCTTTCTGCAGGCTGGGCTTTAAAAGACAGTCTTTCACAGAGTTCAAACAAAAATCTGTTTTAGGTGAAAGAGATGAAAACCCAAGTGGGACCCAGACTGAGCAAACTATATGGGGCCCATATAGAAATATGGGGACAAAACCAGCTATGTAGTACTCCGTGTAACACCACTGCACTTTCACTGGGGCATGCAGGGAAAGGCTGGTCAACAAGAACAGTGGTGCCCATCTCTCCTGTGCTTAGCTTCATGTGTGGTTTGAACTTATTCCATGTGATTGTTCCCATGGGTAGTAGCCGTTTGGTTGCCAGGTAGGTACCGGCATAGGTAAAAACTGCTCCCTCAGTCTTGGGGTAAGGTCTTGGTTGAACTAAAAAATTACAGGCCCTCTTAGTTCACTCCTCTGATACAGGGAGAAAGTTTTTTCCAAGTTAGCCAGTAGTTGACCATATAAGCAACTCAGAAATATATCAGGGTAGAGAAAAGTAACTGTGCTGACCTGTTGGCAAATGGTAGCTGTTCTTCTGAGGTAGCGCTCTCATAAAGATGGTCTAATTAGCATGGCAAATCTTCTGATACTGATTGTTTAACTGTATGCCAGCCCTCTTAAGCTTGATACAAGTGAGAGATCTCAAAGGCTACAAGCTTGTGTTACTTGCAGACAAAGGCAAATCACCTCACAGAAGGTGCTGAGCGCCTGAAGTCCCCATGCCTTTCCCTGTATACTGCTTAGATTTTCTATAACAAGAAATACTGGCAAGAGATTGGCAGTGTTTTACTTGTTTGCAAAATATAGTTCCAGCAGACAGAGGACATCTGAGGTACTGGTACTGCATGTTCCAGTAAGGAAAAGAACCTTTTACACTTGCTTTTTTAACTGGCTTGTTGGGTGGTCTTGGCCACATGCACTGTGCAGAGATGACCACCACTGCCTAGTGCTTGTTGGCCTTTGCAGAACGTTTTGCTACTCAGGAAAGACACATGCCAGATTTTTGTGGATTATTTTAACTAAGAGATCATTAGAGGAAATGGCAGCAGGCAGCCTGCGCTTTGCCTCGGTTCAGGTTCTCCTCTATCATTAGTATTTTCTGCTTTGTGTGTTCTCAGGTGAGCAAGCAGATCCCTGCAAGTTCCAGGCCTGCAATGAATTCTCTGAATGCTTAGTAAATCGCTGGAGTGGGGAAGCTGAGTGCGTCTGCAATCCTGGCTACCTAAGCATCGACGGGCTGCCATGCAACAGCATCTGTGATCTGCAACCAAACTTTTGCCTGAATGATGGGAAGTGTGACATAAGCCCTGGGCAAGGGGCCATCTGCAGGTGGGTCAGCCTGCTGTTGGAAGTACGTGCTTCCTGTATGAAAACCCCTTATTGTCTCCTCTGTTGTATCATTCAACAAGATTTGTACAAAATTCTGTAAGATAATGTATAACAGGTGAGATGATACTGATTATCATTCATGGTATGCTGCTGAGCAGAGGTCTGAATATTAATGTTAGTCTTCCTATGCAAATATTAGAAATGAGACAGTACAAATAACTCTAACAGAATAGAAACATCAGGAAATAAAACTAACTAGGAAAAATGTTAGTGATGGAACATAAATGGAGTCATTCAAATCACCTTCATTGACCTTTGGGGACAGAATTTATCTCCAGAGGTTTTTTCAAATAGCACAGTGTTAGATAATGTCATAAGACATATGAGAGTTAATGCCATCACAAAAATTCACATCTGAAAGGCATATTCATACAGCATAAATATATTAAAAATAGTGCTCTTGCTTAAGAAAAAGTCATAAAAGTAAATCATTGGCCATTTGGGAAAAATCATTTGTGGTTCATAAAAAGATCAAGGCACAGGCCCCCTGGTTCAAATTTTTGCTCTTAAAAAGATATAGATGCTTTTGAACAAGATATCTGTATTTTATAGGTAATTGAAAAGGCTTAGTACAAGATACAGAGAAATTGATGGCCCCTCTGACATTGCACTTATTTTTTTCTTTTCAAGTAATGTAACTATCCATTTTTAAAAACAAAATACACCTATCAACAAAAGGTATGAGACTTACTGCAAAAAAGGAAATTACTACTAATAGTTATTACTTATATTACCTCAGGTGATTTAATAAAAGCTTACCTAGAATGTCTCTAAATTCAGTCTTAGAGTCCTAGCAGTTAACAGAAGAAATAAAAATGTTTTTAAAGCTACAAAAATGGATACTATCACAGATGTACTATAAATTTTATCGATTTGTATAATAGTGTTAATTAGAAACAAGTATCTGAACTCAAGCATGCTCTGGGCAGCACTTACTAAGAACTTTTTGAAAAATTTAAAGTATTGCTTACTACTTTCAGAAACGTATTTCAGATATTTATGTTAGAAGACTTAATTTACTGATGTTTCTTATTAGTAAGGTTCATTGCTGTGAGGGGTCGTAATACCTTAAAATTCTTCGAGTTTTTATAGCAAGAACTCCCAAACACACGTAATGCAAACATATTATTTGACTGGTACACTTAAAGTCAACATTAATGATAAAGTTCTCATGTTCAAAACCACAGCAAGGCAGAAATAATGAATGCTCCTTTGGGCAACTGTTCCAAAGACACACTCTTGGAGATGCACTTCTTTCCAGTCATTTATTTTATGTATTTATTTAAATAACCATTGTGGTGTTCACTACACTATAAACATTCCTCTCATTTAACACTCCTTCATTAGTATTTACATTACAATATGAATAAGACAACTGCTTTCTACCTTTACAGTGTTTGGTATGTCACAAGCGAGCCTCAATCAAGGCATCACTTTTTACATAATCTAAACACCCTCCAGTTTTAACACATCACAGGACACTCTAAATTGCAAGAACCATAGGCTTTTTCCATCACAAATGAACTATTCTTTTGTTTTACTTATCTTCACTCAATTCAGTAATTGTGGTTGTTCGGCCTGGAGAAGAGAAGGCTCTGAGAAGACCATACTGCAGCCTTCCAGTACTTAAAGGGGGCCTATAAGAAAGATGGGGACGGACTTTTTAGCAGGGCCTGTAGCGATAGGATGAGGGGTAATGGCTGTAAACTAAAAGAGGGCAGATTTAGACTAGACATAAGGAAACAATATTTCACAATGAGGGTGGTGAAGCTGGCCCAGGTTGCCCAGAGAGGTGGTAGATGCCCCATCCCCGGAAACATTCCAGGTCCGGTTGGATGGGGCTCTGAGCAACCTGATCTAGTTGAAGATGTCCCTGCTCATTGCAGGGGGGTTGGACTAGATGGCCTTTAAAGGTCCCTTCCAACCAAAACCATGATTCTATACCAACAAGGCTGTTCACAATAATAGTAATAAAAACAGTTGGTGCTTGAACATGCGAAGGTAATTATTGAGGTGACTTAACTGAGGGCACATCAAAACAGGAAGTTAAATACAATTACATTAAACAAAGCTTCTGCTGATGTTTAATTTCCCCGTGTTTCTTTGTTGCAGGTGTCGTGTGGGAGAGAACTGGTGGTACAGAGGGGAGCACTGTGAAGAATACGTGTCTGAGCCACTGGTTGTGGGTATTGCAATTGCTTCTGTGGCAGGATTCCTTCTTGTGGCATCTGCTGTCATCTTCTTCTTGGCCAGGACCCTTCGAGACCAGTACACAAAGAGTGACACCGAGGACTCACAGGGGTAAGCCACACCATCTAATATTTTAAAACGTCTGCTACAATAAGGATGATTCTGGCGTAAATCTCGTATCACACAGTTGACAAGCAACAGGATATACAGGTGCCTTCAAATGCCAGGCTTCCTTAATCTATCTGCTGCCCTTCCAGGCTGCAGAGAAGCTCACAGTTTGTTTATTGCTCCCCCAGGCAGGGTGACAGCCTCTCGTCCATTGAGAACGCAGTTAAATACAACCCTATGTATGAAAGTGATACGACTGGCTACAGCCATTATTACCGGAGATACCCTCAGCTAACGTCCTACAGTTCTACCAGTGCAGAGACATCCACAGACTACAGCAGTGAAGAGATCAGGCACATTTATGAAAACAGTGAGCTTACTAAGGAGGTAAATGGCCTTGTTTTCATAGTGGCACGGAAAAGATCATAGCATCATAGAATGGTTTTGTTGTCCCAAAAGTGGGATCGTATACCCAGTGTGCAACACACCAATACACACACAGAGTAATTTTACTTATGGCATATTTGCACAGATATGGGTGCTAGGTGGTATTCCACAAAGTTAGCACACCACAGAGAGGAATCGCCACACATTTGTCCTGTTACATGATTTGAGAAAACAATAGAGAACTCAGCCAAGTTTACATTCATTGGCTAGTAATTACCACACTACTTATTATTGGTTACACATATTTAAATTGGCACACAGGCTCCTCAAAAGATTGGGGGTTAATTTGCATCATCCCTCAACTGAGTTGGTGGTCACGATCTCCCCCTGCCACCTTTACCTTTACCCCAGTTACTGGGCATTCTGCTGACCTCATGGCAGTTGCATTTTTCAAGAGTGCAGGAACAGCTAAGTCTTCAGGGTCTACTGCTTAAGTACAAATGCTTCTTCATCTTCTTGACCACCAGATCCAGCTTAATTAATCTTTTTTTTGATTGTGTTAACTCTTACCAACCTGCACACTAGAGTCTTCCATTTGCCTCAGATACAATTTTGGGTTGGAAGGGACCTTAAAGGTCACCTCGTTCCAACCCCCTTGCCATGGGCAGGGACACCTTTTCCACTAGACCAGGTTGCTCAAAGCCCCATCCAGCCTGGCCCTGAACACTTCCAGGGATGCGACATCCACAGCTTCTATGGGCAACCTGTTCTACTGTCTCACCACCCTCACAGTGAGGAATTTCTTCCTTCTATCTAATCTGAATTTACCCTTTTTCAGTTTAAAGACATTACATGTAAACAATAAGCTTATTCCACACTTCTAACCTGAGAGGTGGCCCCAGTGTCTATGCTCTAGATAAACAAGTTGCAACTATGGCTGCTGCAACTATTTAAGAGAAGGGAGAAAGGATTTCTGTCCCTGCTTGCTATTAGGTATAGAGAAAGGAATGGGTGTGTTCTGACCTATAATGAATTTCACATGATAAAGGTGCTGACTGCTTAAGTAACTTCATGGGAGTTGGGAAGGTTTGCTGCTGTATTGCTCGAAATGGCCTTTAGCTTTTTATGCCAACTACCGTATGTAAGAGTAGTTATGCAGTGAAAACCTAGCCCATCCAGGCCTTTTTACAGTTGTGGTTTGTTTTTTTAAAGAAGTTTAGGTCTTTCTCTGACCTGCAAGTGACATGACATCATTATCCTTTTTTCCTGTATATGCACTACCCAGGGTTTATGCTAGAAGGCTAAAGGGAAGGGATTTACCTCCAGGAACTAACCACAAATCCTTAAGCAACCATGGGAGGTGTGAATCCAGCCTGTAGCTGGGCTTGTAGGCAAAGTATCTATGAGAGATAAATGAGTTTGTTAAAGCTTGTTGAAATGCCACACTCCATCCAAACCCTGGTTTTGATTTTAAAGGAAAGTATTACTGGACTGCAATGAAGTGCTTTACTTAAAAAACTGCCAAAAAAACCCCCAACCAAACAGCATAAAGAAGAATTTTAGTATTGGAGTGCCCAATTTCAAGCTCTACTCCTTGAAGTAGCAAAGCATACGAGTTTTATTTTCCAAAACCCAGAAATCAGTTATTTCAGAATAGAAATACTATTTAATATTCTAATTTCTGTTATGTACTTACAATTGTTTTTCTTGTATTCTAGGAAATTCAGGACAGAATTCGAATTATAGAGCTCTACGCTAAAGACCGTCAGTTTGCAGAGTTTGTTAGGCAGCATCAAATGTGAGTGAAATGTCTTGTCTGGTTAACTCCTTTGATGTTTCTTCATGTGGCTTTTACTACATTACTGTCTTTTTCATATGAAGGGTCTAGAAACACTGCGCCAGCAGAGGTTAAGATTTCAACATTATTTCTGAAGAGGTTCAACCCTTTCAAAGTACTTAAAATAATCAGTATCAAAAGTAGATAGCACAGGAAGGTATGTTAAAAGCAGTGAAGAGAAATCCCAAAGTTACTGGGTGTCAGAGAAGCACTGACATCAATTTAGGTCCTTAAAAGCACAGATAGAACCTTCTTAAATATTCTAGTGTAGTTACTATTGCCTGGTGTCCTGTTTAAAAGTTTATCTTGAATTCTCAAGACACGGCAACTGACCAAAACCCAACAGATCACTAGTACAACCCTCTCTGGTATGGTGGGCACATTACAGTTCATTGGGTTAGTTTGAAAGATACTGTAGTACAATTCTTTGGGATCCTATTAAAAATAGCTACAGTAGCAAAAATCCTGTGTTCCAAGATCACCAACTATACTTTTTTTTAATTGAAAGCAACAGCAGTTCACATTTTTCCATGTCAGTTGTTAATTTTTTCATCTTGAGAAGAATCAGCATCTAAATTTTCCACAGCTGGAAAGTAGTAAGGGCTGCCTCATATAAGCCTTGAATCCAATGTTTGAAAGAGACTAACTTAATCATTGCTTCTCTGTTTTTCATTTCAGGAAGCTGCTTTAAGAAAAAAAGAAAACGGTAGAATGCATGTGGGAGATAAAGACTACCTTGTTGCCATAGCAATGGGCTCAGATGTAACTGCAAAGTTACTTATAGTCTTAACATTGCATGGATGGATACAGATGTTTTCTAAATGAGTGGCTAAAATGTACAGATGTCTGTTTATCTCAATTACTTCTGGCTTTTCTGATCACCTTTTAAAAATGTCACTTTACACAGAAGTGGCAGAGGTTAGGAAAGTTCATTTTTCTTAACTCTGAAATGGACAGTGAAAGTTTGTATACCAAGGCAAAAAATCTCCTCAGGTAAGAGAAGATACATGCACAACTGAAATAAAATGCACATTTAAAATCCCTGTCTGGCATTTATCCCCTCACTGGAGGCTACTGTAGCCATTTCACAGGTATAAAGCACTAGTGGAAAGAAATATTTGGTTTGTTCATGAATGATTTGTAGGGGAGAACTATTGTGCTAGAATTATGTTAGCGTTATTTTTAAAGCATTCCCATTATAAACACAAACATGTGTTTGTGTTTTTCATGTACAGTTGCCTGATGTACATTTTGTCACCTGGCATTAGCAAAAGAGAAGATGGCCCTGAGCCTGCAGGCCCAAAGGGAGAGCCCTAACAATAAATGTCACTGCTGACTGTCAGCAACCATGCAGGGCGCCTCAGTGAGGCAGGGCAGGACTTCTGCAGTACAGGACAGTGCTTTTAAAGCCAAGATGGTTGGTTCTCCAGCTGTTCCTGACAGAGGCACAGAAGACCTTCTGGCATACAAATGTTCTGTGAAGCTTAAGTGATTCACGGTGACTTTTTTGTATGTAGACAATTTGTTGGGTATTTTATAAGTTAATATGTATTATTTATTTGTTGTGTATTTCCCTACCAGCTTATTTCAATAATGGGTTTAACTGTTGAAATAGAAAGATGAATAGTTTAATGATGAAGTACTACAGTGGCATTTGTGCCCATCCTTTTTAAAACCTATTAAGTGTTTGCTCAACATTGAATTCAGCCAAGTAATAGTTAACTTTACTGAACTGGGCAATAGCCTGCCATGAGCTCTGTTTCAAAATCAGGCTGTGGTATTTAAATGCATGCATATTTGGGGTGGCAGCAACTTCCTATGGGGAAGGGAAAAATTAGATTATTCTTGGCTTAGTGGAAGTCAGTGTAGAATTCCTTAAACAGAAGTTGTCAGCCTGAAACATTTTAAAATAGCTGAATTGAGATGGGGACCTCCTGAGGTATAGAAACAGAGTTTTATGTCAAAGTTATGAAGAGAGGTGTGACAACATGTTAAGGTGTGCTAGGGCTCTGTTCAGTAACCCAGCATCTCTTGTTAAAGGCATTAACACTGCTGTCAGGGTTAGGGCAGACTGAGTCTCACATTAGCTTCTGCCAGCAAAACAAGGCCAAGTTATTTCTTAGTTCTACAAAGTCTGTAGCTCTCAGCCCACATGTGCCAACAGCCACCTGATACTTTTTAAGAGCTAAGTGATAGTAAGAATTATGTACTTGTCTATAGGCAGCTTACCTAAACAAGTGAATATTTCAATGCAGTTCTTCTATGAGTTCTGGAGAATCTCACTGGATCACTTGCGTAGTATCTTCTTGCCTTGAGTGGCAGGGTGCACATATCAGAGCCACGTGTCTGTCAAAGAAATGCTTACATAAAGCACTGTAAGCCCAAGTAACACAAGACAGCAGCAAGTAACATGGTGCTGCTGAACACTGTTGTGACCAGATGTTATGAGACAGAGGCCACATTCTGCTGGGTGACTCCCGGGCTCTCAAAGCAGCTGGTCCAGAGTTTCTGAGGCACAGCCCACTCCCTCCTGCCCCCACAGCAGCATGGCTGAGCCTTCCTGTTACACCAAGGCCTTGTGATCATGGTAACCGTACAACGTAGAAAAGTAAAGTACTGTGCTCAGGCTAGGCATCAACTTGTGACTTGTTTCTGTGCAGCTGGGCTACCAGCCCTGGGAGCCAGCTTCAGTGCTGTTCCTGCTAAGTAGCACAGCAGTGGATGGTGGCTGGGTTCAGGTATGTTTTAAAGGTACTCTGCTATTTGCTGGGCACAAGCTGAGGAGAGTCTTGGTTACACTGAGTATACAGTGAATCTTTTCTTTGTGTGTGTGTGTGTATACATATGAACATAATGGTACCTTATTTTCACTGCAATAAAAGAATTATTTCCAAAATATTTTTTCTATAAAATTAATGTAGAGACTGTGAGTTTGATATGAAGAGAGAAGGTATATTATATTGTATATATAATTATGTTTTTTTTCTCCAGAGTTGGTTAAGCTGTTAAACTCCTTTGCTAACAAAAGTGCCAAATGTAGTTCATTATCACTTGCGAGGTTATATTCTGAAAATTCATGCTGGAAAGCACGTAACTGAGAGCTTTGCTTTCAACTAAGCTCTTTGCTTATTTTGAAGATGTCTTATTTTGAAGATGTTTCGGCTCTAATCAAAGAGCTGAAACATGTTGTTACTGAAGTGATCTTGAAGTCTTAAAAACAAACACCCCCCCCTTCAAACCTCTTAATCTAAACTGTTTGATGATGCATCTTGCAACATGCCAAGAAGGACTTAAGTTGCTTTCTTTGATAAGTTCCCAATCCAAGGCAGAGACAACTCTAAATGTCCTAAGAAAAAAACCAAACCCAAACCAGCTCTGTGTAACAAATCTACCAGTATTATCAGTTAACATGCAGTTTTTCACTCGGTAGAAGTGTAAAGTGCAGGTTTGAATGACTTGGCTTAATTTAAGAACATGGACAAAAGCAGTTCTTGTTTACTGAACCCTGACAGGTCTGTCAGCTGCCCCTTTAACAGGGCGTCTCAAACATACAGCAACCCATGTTGGACCACAGTGCCATGTACTGCAAAAACCACTGGGTGTAGGTTCTGCCTATGCTATTTTTGGGGTCTCTCAAGGCCTTCCCCCTTTCACACCTCAAGGCACCAGTCCACAGTGGTAGACCATGGCTGGAAATTCAAACAGGGAACAAGCATTCAGAGCTGCAAGGCTGACAGCATTTCAGGAGCTTTTTAGTGAAGGACAGAGCCTTGACAGCAAAAGAATACTCTGTATCTTTTAGCTATTATTGTGTTACGGTCCAGTCTGTGGAGTTCATGTATCACGAGCTAACAATTTGGTCCCAGAAGACATTTCTTCAGGTTGAGATAGCTGAAATGATTATTTTCTCCTATCTCCTCCAAAACAAGGAACCATGGATAAAGTTTAGATTTTTAAGAACTCACATCTTAATTACTAAAATGGAAAAAGCCTTTAACAAGCAAGACTTTCACTCATGTTCCTCATCAGACCTGCTGGAATGGGTTCTTCTTGTGAAAAGCTGCAAAAGGAGCATGAGGACTCCTCTGCACACTCTTCCACACGGAGTCTATGGAGACCAGGCATGCTAAGGTGCTAGAGCTCCAGCACTGGGAGAGTCATATCCTATGGAAAGCGTAAGTATACAAAGCAAAAGTATTCACCAACACCAATTTATCTGTCTGTCTGTAAGCACTGTAGGACAGACACAGACTGACTTTGTACAGCATATGGAATATGACAGGGCATTGTTGCTATTTAAATATTAGTAAAAAGCACACAGCAATTTCATGGCACTTTGTTTACTTGAAGTGTACTGTAACACCAGCAGCAGTTCTGTCCTATCTTTCCAGTACTTGATCCAGTTTGGGAACAGACCTTTTTTATGTTCTATGTAACATCCATCCATTCACTTTGGTTTCCCAACTGAAAAAAAAAAAAACAAACCATCCAGTGCTCTTTCTGGGCCAGGAAAGGGAATTTTTTCGTTTGTCAGTCCAAGCAGGGAAGTTTTGCTTTTGCTACATTCAACACTGGTTGGCTCTCCTACTCCAGATTTTTAATTATTCCCCAGGACTTTCAATTAAGTTCCTGGCCTCTTGGACTCTCAACCCACACTGCCACTCACGTTCCTTGCTGGGTCACCCACTGCCACTTAGCAGTGGGAAACACACTCACAGCAGGCAGCTCTGCTTGGAGGATGACAAAAGGTTGCAGGACTAAAATGGCAGCTTTCCTGAGGTGCTGCAGTTCTTCAGAAGGAGTCAGCTGAAGGCCCCCTCAAAACCTGTGCTTTTAGTTTTCCTGTGTTTGCAATTCAACACAAAACCAGATTTTGACTCTTACTCGTTTCAGGATGAAAAATACCCTTACTACTGGAATTTTGTGGGACACATGCCAATTATTTTTTTAAACCAGCACATCTAAGGACTATGTTTATGTATTAAATATATAAGTTGGAGTAAACTACACTTTTGTAAGTGACCTTTTATAAGGGAACACCCCCTCATCAGCTCTCATTTATACAATGAAAATAACAAAAAATACTATCTGTCTTGAATCATTGGAGGTTGAAATGTTATTGAAAAGCCTCATATTAAACACAAATCAGAGTTAGTGTTAACTGGAGTTGTGATTGCATCTCCACAGCTGATTACCAGATGGGGAAACTATGCCTTTCTGGAAAGGCTGACATAGCTTGAACAGAAATGAAAGCAGGAACAATAATGGATGCAGCCATACAGCAAAACTTTATGCAGTAATGTGGGCATATGGCTGGATGAAAGAGGGCAAGGGAAGAGGCAGACTCCCAGTGTGAACATACAAGCAATCTCAAGAGGGAAAGACCTCCATCTACTCGCAGGAGACAGCTATAAGGAAATTCACTCAGCTCCATCTAGAGCGGATTACAGATTGATTAAATTATCTCTCATCCCAGGAAAAGGAGGGGGATGCAAAGCACTTCTAGCAGCAGCGCAGGGCTCAAGTCTCCTGGCATGACCTACAGGTAACTGCTGGCTGCAGTTCACTGTTCACAGTTCCAGTCATCTGCTCAGTAAGGGAGTGGCTGTTCTTCCTGTCCCTATTTTCCGATGGAAAGATCAGAGGGTTTTGATCCACAAAAATGCTTTATACAGTTCTCCAGTAAACCAGAGATCACTGCACAGCTTTTTCCTGCCTGCCCTTTTGTTATTTCTTATTTAAGGTTTTGATTAAAAACACCAAACCAAAACAACTGCCACCAAAAAAAAAAAAAAAATTAAAAAATCTTCCCACACTTACTTTTTTAGGGTTTGCTTTCTACCTGCTCCCCTCAGGCATGGATGGAAACCCACAGCCATGGTGGGAAGGCAGTGTGGTTCTATGGGGCTCTTCCCCAAGGAGTCCTCACTTTGCCCTTCTCTGCACCACATCAGCATTTATATTGTCAGCTCACATGTACCTG